ATTAGCTCCTTAGTAAAGTCTGGCTATACAAGGTTTAACAAAAAAGGCACATTTCCTTAAAAAAAAAAAACAAAAAAAAATAACAGTAGTTAAAACTGTTAAATTAACAGTAAGATTGACATTAGTCAGTATAAGTATAGCTACTTGAAAAATGTTGAACTGATTTTTGTAGTAATGTTGTTCTTCTACTAATATTTTAAAGCCGTCTTTCTCTGTCGTCTAAAAAAAATGTCTCCTTACTTCTCTTTTTTATTTAAGCTGGTGGCAGTGGTTTGTTTTTTCAAAAAGCAACAGCTCGAATTGTGCTGTGAAGCGTTACCTGCTTAAGGAACTGTAATAATATTACCAAAAATGTGTTTGTTACACCTGACTACCTGAAGGTAATGCATAAGCAGCCCACTGCTTCCCAAGGGGATGGGTTAAATGCAGAGAGTTAACTTCGTTGCTCTGTAGTTGATACAGTATAATGACTATAAAACTAAGGGGAAAAAATGATAGTGATACAGTCCTTTTGCAATACATTACCCCCAATACTGTGGGCTATATGAATTTAAGCTTTTTAGGAAATGTGGAAAGTCCACGCATTGGCATGTCAAAGCAGGGATGGAGCAAATGTGTGGAAGAAGGTCATCTGAAAAGCTGAAGACAAAATGTTGCTCATGCCACACACCGTGTGACTGAACTGATTATACAAAACACATTGGTCCCATGTTTAAGCATTGCAAAAGTCCAGACCTAAATCCTGTAATGGCTTTTCAAGTGCTTTCTCTACTTAATGTGACTGGAAATGAACTATTTAGCCGTAAACAATGGTAACAAACTCGAAATGAATTGCAGAATCCATAATTTAAAAAAAAAACGACTGAAAAAATGCAAACTGAAATTTTCCATGTTATTAATAGGAACGTATGAAATTATGTAATGTTTTCTCTTCATAATGAAGCATTTCTGCAAGTTAGTTTGTCTTAAGAATTTACCAAAAATACATTGATTATTGTTGTTCTAATAGGAGAAAAATGTAACAGTTCATGGGGTATGAATACTTAGTGATTGTGCTTTAGTTGAACCTCAGAAAAAGAGCACAGTGACATAGATACCTGTGTTTATATTTGTGATCCATTTCTTTCTAATCAATAGTTGCTCTGAACTATTGATCAAAATGTGATGATAATGCACTTCTTCTTTACCTTTCCATTTGCAACACTTTGATTGTTGCAACTGTGTTCCTCAATTACACATTCCATTCATACCTAAAAATGTCCTAACACTGCCGTTCTCTTGATGGGTGGGATGTTAACCAGCAGCAAGTCAACACATGAAGTCTTATTGGAGTAACTGTTTGCTCAGAAATGTCCTCCGGCTCTAAACCGCCTATTTCTCTGCACAACAGCGCAGCAAGACATGGATTTAAAGTCTGGCAGGAAAGGGGACAAACCCAGGTTTAGATATTCCGCTTTTGTTTAATGAGAAAACAAAGGATTAGCTTATGTTGTATTAGACATTGAAAGATCAGCACACACCCTAATACCATGGAACTATTTAGGCCATCTTCATTCAGGGTTTGCTGCTCTCACATTGAGTCGTGCACTTATTTATGATTTAGTTTGTTTGTTTTTTGTTTAATAAATGTTCAAAATGTTTATGAACATCCATAAACATTTCCTTTTCTGCACGTTGGCCATTTTAGTGCAATGTTACAGTTTTGCTTTAGTTTGACAACATGCCCCACCTCCAGGTTTTGGTAACATGAGTCAAATTCCACTGTGGGGTTTCAGGCCCATATGTGCAGGGGCTCTCTGTTTTCCCTCTGTGCTCCTCTCTTCCCTTATGTCATGCACTTTTCCCTCCACACTCGATCTAACAGTTGCTTCCAGCTGCAGATAAATGGGAACTCACGAGTAGAATCCCTTTTAAGAAACATTTTCATAGCCATCTTTGTCTTAGCCCATGTGTTTTACTTGTGCTAATGGAAGCCCTGTCTTGCTTATTGATATTGCACCATCCTCCTTTTCCCTGCCTTCTTCAGCTATTTCCCCTATGTAGACTCACCTTTGACCTGCTTCATTCCATTCCAGTACAAAATTACTTTGCTATGTTTCAGAGCAACAGAAATATGAGTGCTCACACCCTTTAAATACAGGGATGGGAGGAAGTGAAGCCAAGGTCAGCTTTGTCATACTGCACGCAATCATTTGCCTGTACTGAATTTAATGTGGCATTCAAGTGCTTGGCTTTTATCTGAAATGCAAAGATACATATAGTTAGGATTATAAATATCTGTTCTTCTAAAATGATTGCGTCATAGATTTAAGCTCAAAGGGACAGTGCGCTTGTCTGATTTAATGTCTCTTTGGCATAAAGGGCAGGGTGGTCTCTCGCTCCTTATGCCTAGATGTTTAAAAGCTTGGTAAATCTACAGCGACCTTCTGCAGTCCTGTCATTCCTCTGCCGAATATGGCATTGCTTTTTTTAAATATAATTTATGACTTCTGAACTAGAGATTGTCCAAAGAAGGGGTAACATTTGGCATTTCAGGGAATAACTGAGCAGATGTGTTAGACAGAAAGACAAACTACTTACATAAGTATACACATCCACTTTCATCTACTTTGTAGGTCTGAATATACATGGATATATCAGTGGAATGTTTAATTAATAGCGATCAGGCATGATAATTGTTATTACTATAAAGATGGGACAATTTTAACATGGCCTTGCTGAGTGTTTGGCCTCCACATAGTAGCTAAAGATATTGAATAGTCTCTCCTAATAGCATTCACACCGTGAATTTACATTTCAAGATGCACAAACTTTAACAGACTCTTGGAGATTTTTTCTGTGTGGCTTATAAAAAAATGTAATATGTAAATGTGATATTAAAATACTGAAGACTGGGGCTTTCATTTGAATTCCATCCCCTTTGCTCTGACTTTCCTAAATAAAATCTGGTGCAACTTAAAGCTTCATTCTGCTTCATTGTATCTCTATTCCCCCACTCTGCAGAATCTGTTAGTTCAATCTCTAACATTATGCTCTCTCTGCTTTTTCTCATAGTAGCTTTTCAACGTCTGTTCCTGTTTGGCTGTGAAACCATCCTGGAGAGAAATATAAGCTGTGCTGCTGCCATCAACACCCTTGTTTATAGATGTTGGAGATCTGCCTATTTTTCAGTGTAGTCCTGTTTCTCTGACTATGACTGGCTGGATGTGCTCTCTTCATCCTCTGACATGGGAGCTGGCTCGGAGCTCGGGTGGCTGGCTGTGTGTTTCCTGGACGGGGCTGCCTTTTACAGTTGCTTTTTGTATCTCTGCTTCTGTCTCCTTGAATCCCAATCGGACTCGGCAGATGGCCGCTCACACTAAGCCTGGTTCTGCTGGAGGTTTCTTCCTGCTAAAAGGGAGTTTTTCCTCTCCACTGTCGCTGCAAGCATGCTTGGTGTGAGGGATTGCATTCGAGTCAATGAGTCGATGCAATCAACTGGTTTTCCTTAGATAGAAAACTTTGAATCAGTTTGACTGTATGATCTGGTGAACTGTAAAGTGCCTTGAGATGACATGTGTTGTGAATTGCGCCATATAAATAAACTGAATTGAATTATTGGACATAGTATAATTAACAGGTAGAGTCTTGCTGTATATAATTAGATTTTATGAATCCAGCTTTCTATGAAGGCCGCAAAAGGTGTGTGTGCATTTCTAAAGAAGCTAAAACAGTAATTAAGTTTTAAAAGGTCTCATTAAGAGCACAAAGTTCAGTCTATCATTTGATGATGGAGTACAGTGTAGCACACAGGCTGAGTAGGGAGGGTTCGTAGAACGTAGGTTCATAGCAACTGAAGGATAAACTGAGGCCTAATATCACATGTGAGAATTTTTTGTGAATAATTACTTGTTCACTCTGAAAATCTTTCATATATGGAAGGGATAAAAGAATAAGGCTAATGTAGAAAGAAAGGAATACAAAGTCCCATTTGTTAACTGCTGATTTGTTAATAGCCACAAACAATTTATTCCACTGCAAACAACAAATTAATTAAACCAAAACTGAAAAATTTATATTACGGTATATTTAGATAAATAACATAATCTACCACTCTGAGTAGACTATCTTAAAAGTGAAAGATGCGAATGACAGCTTCATTCTGTGAAGATATGTCTCTTTAGCAGGAACACGGAAGCTGCTCGGAGTGGATGGGAAGATTAAATGAGATAAATACAGGACAATCCTGGAGGAAACCCTGAGGCGGAACACTTGAAACTTGGGCAGGATTCCACCTTTCATATATTTGACAGGGGTTTCCATGGATTACCAAAAAAAACCCACAGATATTAATGTGTTAAAAATGGTTTAGCAAAAGCTTTATCTTAAATATAATGGCACATCTTTGGCTGGAGTGAAATTAATCTATACACTGCTTCTAACTTCTATACTTCAAGGTGCCTGAGCCTGAAAACAAAGTCTCTTAACTTTTTTGATTATATGTTGAATCATTGATATTTTTTCATCAACTTTATGATATGCATTATTTTTTTCTGGTGTATAAATTGAATTATACGAAAAATATTGAAGGTTTTAATGTAAGAAATTGTTAACAACCTTTACAAAACATTTTAAGTACAAACTGGCATAGTCTACTTTCATGTAACACACCTTTTGTATGTTTACGATGTACAATATACCAGGATCCTTTGGACATTCTGATTCAGTATCTGACAATCCGCTTTTTTAACCCCCCTGTCCAATAAACTTCCTCCCCCTCTTCCAGATGCGTTTTTTACTAGCAGATGCTTAGCACATGCATACCATGCCTAAAGCTCCTACTGAGGGTCGACAGCCACACAGAGTCCTTGTGTAGTAAAACAATACAGCCTCTCTCTGTGTTCAGCACTCCTCATGGCTCCAACTACTTTTAAGAGCCCCCCTCCCCCTTCACTTCTCTCCCTTCTTCATAGGACACAGAGAAAAAAAATCCACATCATAGTGGAGGGAATAAGTGGTGGGTGTGTGGCTGGGAGAGAAACGAGATCAGGGAAGGACGGCTAGCAGAACTGGAAGAGAAAATGTTGCTGTTGGCAAAAGATTGCTTTATTGTTCTACTGTTGGGCTTCAGCCCTTTAACTCTGAAAACTCTATATGTAAATAACTTATGTGGTTTAGTATGGATTTTATGTTGTTATAAAACAGAAATCTAGCCTGAAAACACAGATTTAAAGCACATTGTTACAGCTTTGATCAATTTCAAAATTAATTCACAGTGAAAATGTTTTGTAACGTATCTCCTTCAGCAGATAAAGGGTTATCCATCCGCATTTCTTTAACTGCTGCAATACTGTGCTCCAAGGCAAACTTATTTGCTCAAGTTACAGCCCAGCTACACACTGATCCACAGGATGGGTGAGTCATACGTTCAAGGACTTGGGCGCTTCACTGTTGTGGGAACATTTCCATTTTCTGGTTTTCATGAGGCAGTAGAAAAAAACTAAAATGGCTTCCCTGATTTAACACTGCAGAGGCAAATGGTTGCGAACAAACAATTCTGAAATCTGCTTAGTAAGTCGGAAAAAATGAAAGATCTGACTCACTCTGAGATGAGAGTCCTCCTTTGGGCATCTACCATGTGTGTGTGGACATTGTGAATCAGGGTGGAAGCCACCAAACCCACTGAATCACTTAAAAACTTCATTTTTTAAATCACATTCATTAACTTTATTTCAGCTTGTGGTTCCCTGTTTTAGAGAACATTGTGAAAGGGATGCTTTTAAGATGACGTGACTTCTAAAACACATTTCATTGTGTGCACTTTTCCAGGTGCTCCATTTTACCTCCGGCTGTGTACGTTAAACAAAGCACTACACAGAAGAAGGCACCAGGTGTGGGAACGGCAAACCGGCACATGTTCAAAAGTTTCATTTGCTTTGTTGGGTGTGTCAAATAAACAAGCGCCGTTTTCACTGTAATTACTGAGTGACAACACTTATATGCATCTGAGAGCTTTGAAAAGGGAAATCCTGTGCTTTAATTTTGGCCTTCACACTTTGAAACGTCTGATATTTATAGAAAACAGATTGGGCATGATCATACCCACAGCAGAGGTAGAGTTTCTTCCTCTTCTGGGGACTCCAGCTTGCAGAAGTAGGTTCTGAAACAGACCATTTCAGCATTTTAACAAGGGTGTGGTCAATGTTTTTTATATGAATGTTTAATCTTCAAATAAAAAAATGAAGGTCTAAAATAAGCATTTTAAGTTGTACATCTACTTTTAACACGACAATTAAGCTCAGAGCTTACTTTTATTGATCAGAGTAGTTTTACATTTACTCTTACGTTTAGAATTACATTACATTTGCTTAAACTAATGTTTAAATGGGAAAACTTTAACACAAACCAAGCTGCAAACTTAATGATTTTCTCTTTTGACTGATGATTCTTTGAGATGCTTCTAAAATCAAATCAAGAACCTGTTTAAAGTAGAAGAATCAGCACAAACATGACCCAATTACAAATATTTTCCTTTAGTCATTGAAACACGTTAGGAATTTCGGCCCTCTGATGCCCTCTAGAGGCTTTAAAGAGAAGTATAGTATCAAACATTTTATAGGTTACTTTTAAAAATGGTCTGCTGTCGAAGCTTATATAATGTTGTTTTGCTTTATTTCTTTTTCAAAGTGTCCTTCCATAGTTTTATTAGATGTTTTGATATCTTGGGTTGCTCCTGTTTAATAACAAACATTTCACCAGTTTCAAAGGCTATTATTGAGAAAAACATCTTTTTTATCTTAAGTGTCTATAATTACTTTCCTAAACTTTCTTTTTAAATATCCATTTCACTTCAATTAGATATGAGCTTGTTGGTCAAAGACAGATGGAGAACTCTACTCGCCTTATCAGTGCTTACTTTGTCTAATAAAGAGATGACCACAGATTCTGGTTGGAATACGATTCTCGGCCTAGAATACAAATTTCAATCTTGAGCCAGTTATTTATCTCTTTTTCTTTGTGACCTGTTGCTATGTCCCTGTGGAAAAAATAAAAACAAAACATTGCTCATTTCAAAATTTCTCCTGAATCATGGGGTTAGATTGTTTTGCACTTTGATAACCTTTGGATCATATTTCATACCCGTGTAATGTCATTGCAGAATATCAGTCTGAATAAAAGCTGCCTCAATGCAACCCGCACTGACCTGCTCCTCCAACGCCAGTACATTAATCACTCTGACTACCAGTCACAGATATTTTTTATATAATGACAGATTAGTAAGCAACCTGGGGTTAAGTCATTGTCCAGAGGCATATTAATAAGTGTAAGAAAAAATGTGGTATCAAATCTGCACCCTTCCAATAGTTTCCTTTACAAGCTTTGAGACTGTTCTGCCTTATTTTTAACCCTCCGCCTTGACTGATTGCACCATAGCTGACCCATTTGTGAAATCCAATCCAATCCAATCCACTTTATTTATATAGCACGGTTTAAATAAACACAAGGTTTCCAAAGTGCTGCACAAAAAGATAAAATAACTAAAATAAATAAAAGTAATAAAATAAAATAAAATAAAACTCAGTGTTTGCAGATGACACCATTGACATTAGTCTGATCCTTGGAGGCATGGAGGCACAGCTGCTTACAGTGGAATGGTTGGTCCACTGAGGGGCTAAAATAAACCTGGAGCACTGGCTCCTCTAACCAGTGGTGGACACTAACAAAGTACAAACTTGAGTCTGGATTACTGTACTTAAGTGCTTTTTTGAGTATCTTTATTTACTGAAGTACTTTTTTTTTGGGGGGGGGGGGGGGGGGGGGGGGGGGTTACTTATAACTTTCACTCCACTAAAGACAAATATTGTACTTTCTTTTCCATTACATTTAGAGGAAGCTACTCGAAAAGGTGGTCAGCTTAGCTTTGTATTCCGCTTTTGCTGTTTTTCTTTCTTGAAATGCAATGTCAACAGGGCATATAGCAGCCCTTAGGACTAAATTTGGTCACCACCATCTGCATGACGTTCCACAAATGTGAGAAATTATTTGTGGTGCATACTTTTTGGGCTGCTTAGTTGAGAGCACTGTTGCTTTGCAGCAAGAAGGTTCGGAGTTCGATTTCCTGCCCGGGGTCTTTCTGCATGGAGTTTGCATTTTCTCCTTGTGCATGCGTGGGTTCTCTCTGGATACTCCAGCTTCCTCCCACAGTCCAAAAACATGACAGTTAGGTTAATTGGCTTCTCTAAATTCTCTTTAGGAGTGAGTTTGTGTGAGAATGGTTGTTTGTCCTGTTTTTCTCTGTGCTGCCCTGCAATGGACTGGCAACCTCTCCAGGGTGTACCCCGCCTGTACCTCTTGCCTGCAGACAGCTAGAGATAGGCACCAGCACCCCTCGCAACCACCAATCAATTTTGTAACAGTATTTGATGGATGGATATACATTTTATTAAGGTGTTAGTTTTTGTGGTGTGGCCAAGTTGTTCAGTAGAAAGAATTCTCAAATCAGAGCTGTAGTTTCTTTGTGGAAATACATTCAACCCTTAACCTCTATTACGCAGTCAAAGTGGTGGGAGAATCAAGGCACTCCTTCTTTCTTTTTGGTTTCTTTTGAAATAAGAAATAAAAAAAATAGCTGTAATTTCTTTCTTTTTTTGTGGCATTTTTATGCTGAAGTTTTTTACAGGTGGTGTAGAATCTGTAGCAGTTGGTTCTACACATCAATACATCAGATAGTTTCTGAAAGTTACAGGTTCTTTAAAATTACTCTGAAAACTAGACAGAAATGTACTGATATTGGAAAATTTTATTAGTATTTTTGATTACTTACGTTCTTTTAAATGCATGTACTTATGAATACTTAGGTATTTTCAAAAGTGTGTACTTCAATGCTTGAGTATATGTTTCATTCAGTAACTTTTACTTGTAGTTTAGATTTGACTACGAGTATCAATACTTTTACTCAAGTACTGTTGTTGAGTACTTCACCCACCACTGCCTCTCACCACCCTCAACACTACTAGGTTGAATGTGGACCATTTCCAGTTGATAGAAACCGACGTCTTGTAATCTGAGGTGGTGCTAAGCATAGACTGTGTTGAGAAGAATGCCCAGAGACAAAAGAGTTTCTGCTGCAATTCAAAAAGCACAATTTCTATACATCTTTTTCCCTGCAGTCCCTTAGTCTGTTTTGTACACATCCATCTCAGTTCGGTATCTGAATAACAGGACAAATCTAAACTGCAACAAATGATTAGGTCAGCAGAGATGATCATTCCGATTGACCTTTCATCCACAACCTGTACAATTCTAGGGAGAATAAAGTCAGTGGCTGTTCAGACCAACCTGTAGGTCAGTATAAGACAGCACTGTTGGCAAAAACTAACCAGCATGAAGACATACTTTTTTAATATGCCTTCCTGATTTTAGTTATTTATAAAATCACAAGTTTCAACATGCATTGTTGTGCATACAGGTTCAGCCAGCAGGCCCCAGGGCAGCTATGGTTGTTGCTTATCAGTGTGTGCATGGGTGAATGCATTTAAAGATCTTTGAAGTTCCTGAACTTAATAAAAAGTACAGGCAATTTACCAAATATAATACCACTGTTTATGTTGATTTTTATGCCTTTTAAGCTTTCCTTCTAACGTTTATTTAAACAGCAATACAAATCCAAACTACACTACTTTATTAGGTACACCTGTCCAACTGCTCGTTAACACTTAATTTCTAAGCAGCCAATCACATGGCGGCAACTCAATGCATTTAGGCATGTAGACATGGTCAAGACAATCTCCTGCAGTTCAAACCGAGCATCAGTATGGGGAAGAAAGGTGATTTGAGGGACTTTGAACGTGGCATGATTGTTGGTGCCAGAAGGGCTGGTCCGAGTATTTCAGAAACTGCTGATGTACTGGGATTTTCACGCACAACCATCTCTAGGGGAATATTTTCTTGGCACTCTTTGGGCCCCTTGGTACCAATTGAGCATCGTTGCAACGCCACAGCCTACCTGAGTATTGTTGCTGACCATGTCCATCCCTTTATGACCACAATGTACCCAGCTTCTGATGGCTACTTTCAGCAGGATAATGACTATGTCATAAAGCTGGAATCATCTCAGACTGGTTTCTTGAACATGACAATGAGTTCACTGTACTCAAATGGCCTCCACAGTCACCAGATCTCAATCCAATAGAGCATCTTTGGGATGTGGTGGAACGGGAGATTTGCATCATGGATGTGCAGCCGACAAATCTGCGTCAACTGTGTGATGCCATCATGTCAATATGGACCAATATGGATTTCAGTTTGAGGAGCAGTATGACAGTCTGACCTTTTCAACTGTCCACACAATAAGGATATTGCTTTTTATTTATTTTTTTAAATTTGGTTCCAGTTTGGTTATTTATCCCAACTTTTACGGTTTTCAAGCTAGGAAGTCAGACAGCAGTCATAAGGATTTAGGTTTAAGAAAATAAATTTAGAGAAGTCAGCATTAGGATTGTTTGAGCAGTTTATTGAAGATGCCTGTAAAGACATACTGTGATTCTGTAAACATTAAAGATCATTCCAGGTAAGTCGTCTGGATTTGCAGCTTTACGTGGAGTAATGCTTTCACCTTGTCCCATCAAAATTTTTCTTTTAAGCAACTTCATAATCCATTTGACAGTATACTATGGTCCATTCTGGAGGAATTTTTTGCTGTACCTTCTAGGCTGATGTCTTTAGAGGTTTACTTCAACATTTTCCATCACGTTCTTACCTCACTGCTATGAGTTTTGAGAGTACCCTCTTGGAGCAATATCCACAATATGCTTTCACCCTCATGGTTTAGTTGAGATTAGTTTGTTACAGCCCTCCCTTCGTTCAAGCGCAAATAGGGTGATGACTAGACTCTCACGATTTTAGTTAATTCAAAGTGGAATATATCCCAAATAATGACATTTTTGGGTG